GTACGTATGTTCGTACATACGTTCGTACAGACGCCACAAAAAATTCTCTTCAGAATTCATTTTAAAGTAGTTTTTTATGGAGGAAAAGAGTCCTTTATTCTGTCCTTACATACAGATATCACGCAAAAACATCATTAAATTGCATTCGAAAGCGGTCAAAGTGGATATTTTCATTGAAATATGCTGCCTGAAGCTTTTTGCGATTACAATACTTCGTTTTTACTTTGTACGAGGAAGTAAAAAACAGAGAGACTATAATTTCAATGCGGGAGATAAGGTTCTGAAAACAAAAGTCTTTATTATGTGTAATAAATGATAAACTGGGGAAGTTTTGCCCCAAATCTGAAGGTCCATATATAATTGGGCACACAGGGGAAGCTGCCATATATTTAAAGAATTAAAACGGGGAACAGTAGTTTATAATGTAGACTAGGTGAAGCCTACTGATTATCAGTCTACTATTATGAGCCTACTGATATGCCTATGTTTAAAGATATCTTATGGGAGTCGCAGAATACCAGTCAGGCAGTGTGAACAAGTACCAGTGATAAAATACCAGCCACATTGGAATTTTAAGTCCCTGAAAAGAAAAGACATGGTATAGCAGATCAAGGAATCTTTAAGAGGACAGGACTGGCAAAATCCACAAGTGCTAGGTTTAACAAATAACAACAAAATTCCCAAGACAGTAACAGAAAGGTCGACATTCTACAGCATCCAACGAGCAAGTAACAGACAGCTGACGCAAGCTCAAAAGATTGGACAAGAGTTTAAGTGCTGACTAAAGAGTTCAACAACATTCCTGCACAAAAATCTTTAGGGAAAAAATGGCCAGCATAGCAGGATTTGCCATAGCAGAGGAGGTCAATTAAGTTCCAGAGATCGAGTCCACAAGTTACCAACAAAACGCCAATGGAGACAGCAGTTAAGAGGTCAAATTCACAAGCTACGAAGTGGGCTGTGGAATCAGAGCTCTCCCAGTGATGAACGAAAGTAAAAAAAGACCAAGAAAGGGCCCCAAAGTGGAGACTGCCAGACAGAGTGTGAAACAGCCTAGGGGATGGTTTCATGTCTACCAGACTAGGGTGTATCTAACCTGAGAAGATTTTATCATCCAGCAGATTTGTGATCAACGGAAAAACAAATGATAAGTAAAACTTATTTTCCTTCACAGATTCAGTTTTTTTTTAATATAAAAAAGTGCAACAGTTGCTATTTATTTTAAGTTTTGTCTCAAGTGAAGTCATTTCAGCAGTTCTTAAGTAGCAAGAAGCTTTGAATTTAAGAAGACATTTATTCACACTGATGTTAAGTTAGTCTAGAAATAGAAATTCTGATTTAGTCCAAGGGACTGATGTTTGAGAAAATTTTGGTGAAATTATAAAGCAACTCTAAACAACTTATGTACACATGATGTAAAGTGTATACTAATTTTTCTTATGTATTGTAAATGATCCATGAAGTATGCTTAACAGTTTAGTATTACAAGCATCAAAGTTCTGTTAATATATGTGTTAAAGTAAATGCTTGCATAAGTATAAGAATTGGATTTTGAAATGTGAATGAAATCAAAATTGCACTAACAACCTTGTATTTGGCATACATATATTAAAACAATCGATTTCGAGGGCAGCTAAAGGTCCCTCCTCATCAGGAGAACGAAATTACTAAAATTATCAATGATAACGACCACATGTTTCTGCTACTCCTTTGCCGATGCTTTATTTTTTTCTTCTTTTTTCCCTTTTCTAGTAATTTCGTTCTCCTGATGAGGAGGGACCTTTAGCTGCCCTTGAAATCGACATTCTTGTGAATGAAATGTTTAATGGTAAGTTAGCAAAGTAAAATTAAATTAAATTAAAAGCAAAAGTTACTGGTATGCATGAAATTAAAGGTTAGGCCCTCCAGCCAACACAAAAGTTTAATCACCTATTTTGTTGGCACATTAGATGTAGCTTAAATTAAGGTATCTTTGACATCTAGTGTATCTAAGTTTTTAACATGATTTAGAAGGTAGTGTTGATACACTTATAAAAATCACACTTGCTCATACATTTCAGCACATTTTACAGGACAGCCATGGGAGAAAAATTAAATTCCAGAATAAATTAAAATGTATCAAAGTTTCTAATAAAGTTAAATGTAAAATTCAGTTATTTTTATGTTAATTAACCAGTTATTTTATGTTCCGAATCTGTACTGTCATTTCTCACTTTCTGTTTCCCTGCCAGAATGCAAATTAGCTCGCATGTACTTAAGTGAGGATTTGAGATTCTTTAATCAGAGTGTGTTCTGCTTGCTGAAGGCTATACTACTAATTGTAAATTCTGAGATAAGCGTACCTGTTTATAGTGTTGCTTTGTTTTTGTCAATAGTACTGGCATGCCAGTAGAGGCTTAAGAGCCAAGTTCCATGTTTAAATATCTCTATATAGCCTTTGGCTAATTACTACTTTAGTTTTAATTTAAAATTCAATTTTTGAGTTCATGCCATAAATGCTGGCTGATTCATAAGTGCCAGGTTACTAAGTAATGTACCCTTTGTTCAACTTACTTAATTTTAATATAAAAGGATCTCTTATACCATTCTAAAGTTCTGTTTCATATTATATAGTGATAAGTCACTTGCACATCAATGGAGGATTTGCCATACGTTACATTTAATTAAAGGCACAATCTTTAGAGAGTACCTTTTTGTTAATTGTAAGGAATTGTAATGGGACTTAAAGAGTTTGTCAGCTGATGAAACAGAAAGCACTGCATTTGTTTCAGAAATATACTGCTTTTTCCAATGATAGCGAATAAAAAATTTCCCATTTGACAAAGTTGTACTTCTTAAATGACAAAATTTTATAAATTGAAATTTGTGCATGATGCTGAATTTTAGCAATTCTCTGATGCTTTTTGAGTGAAAGCTGATTACTGTTTGCATGCAGAGAATAACGGAATACACATTGTCAAATTTTGTGCAACTCTGATTTTTTTAAACAAAAATACTACAGTACACATGGGCACTATAACAATACAGAAATAATTATATCAAGATTTATTGAAAATGTTATGGGCTATATTACGGATCTTTCTTGCATTTTTAATTTTATTGACTCATTGCTCCATTATGGAATTTTTAATGAGCTGCCATTTCCAAAATGGCCATTGGTTTTTTTGTACTAAGCTTGGTGAAAAATTAGTCACTAATGAGTTGCCAACTTTCCATCAGGAAGTAAAGATAATCGGAAGGTAACCCCTCCAAAAAAAATCAATATGCAATAAAATAATTTCAATTTTTTGCCAATTTATATTCAATATATTAACATATTATCAGCAGTAGTAGCAAGTAAATACACATTTTTGTAACAGCACAGTCAAATTTTAAATTACGAGTTGCCTCTTTTTAGAACAAAATTAATTGGAAATTACTTTTTTCCACAAAAATAAAATAATTAGGTAAAACTCTTAAATTATAATGAAAAAAAAATGTATTAATTAAAAAAGTGTGAAACCTTTTATCCCTTAAATGGAATTATATTACACGGCACCTCAAAAATTTCCTCTCAGTATCCTCTGCTTTATCACAAGCTGTGGCATTTCCAAGCTACAGTTTATAATGAAACCACATAGCACTTCCCAAATTAAATTTTAGCCAGATTCATAAAATATTTAAATGCTATAACTTATAGAGGTAATAGGTTCTGATATGCAAACTCCTGATTATTAAATGCCATGATAGGTGTATTATTCCAAAGGCCTTCACTCCTTTCATCACTGCTGCAAACAAATAAGTTTCAATGTGAAACATGTAAAAACAACATAAGCTGTTAATAACTTACTGATTAACATTTTTAGTTAACTTACTGATTTCTTAGTTTAGATTTAGGGAAAGAAAGAGTCATCTCCAGGGGCTACCTCTTTTTAATTTCAAACCTGCAAAGGCAAGATGCTCAGCTACTTGCACCAAATGAAACTGTATACTTTTCTGAATAAAATCAGATATTATAGCTCCGAAAAAGCCATAAATAAAGCAGCCTCCTTTATACAATAAGCCCTTTAGTTACTGAGGTAAGTTATACAGCACAATCTCAGATTAGTACTGAAATTTAAATTGAAAATTTCATTTGCACATAATATAGAAATCTAATTTTATTTACAAATTTGATACTATATTTTCCATCATATTTTTGTCAAATAACCCCAACATACAGAAGGAAGAACAATGAAAACTGCAGTATGAAACAATAAAACTGGTAATAATATGTTACAAGGAAAGTTTAGGAGAAAAATTCTCATTATGAATTTAGTACGGAATGTAACCTCCCCTGACTTGCTCACTTTATCAAAACATGTTTTCCCACTGGCAATAAGACTGCTAATCATAGTTTGGGGAATCAAGTTGCACTCCTGATGTACCTCCATGAAACATTATTCTTCCCCATACCATCACACCTGTATTACCATCATATTCCATAACATTTGCATTCCTGACTCTCTCCAGATGTAAACACATTTACAATCAGATGTTAAACTAAACCAATAAAGAAAACTTGAGACCAACTCATCAGTAAAGAAAACTTGAGACCACAGGTGTTCACTTCTGTCCTTACACACAGTAATCAAATGCTGTATTGCAGAAATTCACTCAGACATTCACTTCAAGCAAAGCACTGATTCAATTTCAGATGATATAATGACTTGCATTGCAGAAAACGCTTGACTTGCATAGCAGAAAACGCTTGATCACTTTTGATTGGCTAATGTTAATTAGGATTGTCTCACACTCTGCAAAAATGGATTACATCAATTGTATATTTTACGGAATATCATAATTTTTGGGTACATAAAGATAAATTTGCACATGAGTGTACTTTTAAATCAAAAATAGTTTTCTTTAATTACATAAATGTCACTGATGTAATTAAAAGTTGGTTCTTTAACAATAAAAGTAGTTCTTTGTGAAACATAATCTTCAAGTTTAAACAACAAAAATTTCAAAATGTCACTTACCATCAACAAGTTTCTGCAAACTATTCCTCATCACATGTATATTTTCTATACCAAAAAATTGGAATTTAATGTTTCTGTAAAAATCTTCATTTTCATAGCCTTTCCCAGCTGCCTTATTAGCCATTGCATTAATCTAAAAATATAAAAAGTTTCAGTCTGAATCACACCATTAAACAGGAATTTGGGATTCAAATAACAAAAGAATTAAAATTTAAAGTCAATGTAAAAATTTTCCCTTTTACAGCCTTTTACTACTGTCTTATTGGTATTGATTTAAAAATATGAAAATTTTCAGTTTGAATCACACTATCAAACATGAATTTATTTTGAATTACAAAAGCCTTTTTTAGCTTCAAATATAGCTAATTTATCACAAACTTTAGAAAGAAATCATTTATCATTCAATAAGAAACAGAAGAAAGATTATATATTCTCATGTTCCATTACATTCAACACATTATCTGAAACTACTGGACTGCTTGAAGTATGTGATGTGAATATTCAGGCTCTTGCTTTTCAAATATCCAGAATAAACTTCTTGTCACTTTTGTTTAAAGAATTAATAAAGAGATTGTGCATGAGCTGATGTTATGCACTGACTACAAGATCTTTGGCAGCAAACTGTTGCATTAATTCAGAAACATAGGATTATTTTCAGCATTCTCTTTGATATCTAATAAGTTCATAGACTATTTTATAAAAACTGCATAAGAAAAGGCTGCTAGAGAAATATATGATGCTTCTATGGATCTGTTTCAGCTACCAAAATTGGAAATGCTGATTTTTAATATTATGTTCCTTAATTTCTCAAATTCTAATGTTATTCTTAATAGGGGAAACAAAGAGCAAATAAAAAAGACATTACTACAAATATCAAGTTTTCTAAAAGGGAAAACTGATATCTGTAATTTGGTAACAATCCGTAACCCACACTCATGATCTATGTGTATCTTTATACTTGATTTATTAATTTTAGCTTAATACTAAAATTAACATGCCAATAACCATACAGTACAATGTATAATGTAAGTGTATATTTTATATTTAATATGCTAACTGATTAAAGAATCTGCATTCATCAGTTCTACTATAATAAAATTTTTACACACTCACTTCCAAACGAAATGCAGATAACCTACCATTTAAGATAAATATGCTTGGCAAAACTGCATACATAAATACCTTCTTTAAAAGTGGATTAGGTTTACAAAATTCCAGTCAACTTAATGTTAGACTTCTACTATTATTCTAGATAAGAAATACTGAAATAATTGAAATTTTTAAATTCAAATCAGAAACACTGAGAACAAATTTTAAAATGAAATTTTTCATTCAAATATTACAAAATAATAACTTTAGAAATAAATATTCCTTGAGGATTCCATTTAAAAGTAGAGATTGCTTAAGATAGCTGTAGTAACTAATTCCGGTTACTATCAGAGAGCATTAGTTCCAGAGGTAAGTGATCATTCGCTTCGTTATTAATACACACACGTTTTATTTACAATATAATACAATGGTTACAAGCATTATTATTAGGCATACGCCTTCATAATTATTAGGCTTAACACCTTCGTTCTTCCATCAAAACTAAAGTAAGCTACAGAATATCAACCGAGACAAGATGCTCGGAGCGCCAAATCAAATTTGTTTAGCTATCTATTTATAACAATAGCCATTCATTTTTAAAGTCGTAATGGAGTCCTCAGGGGTTAATATTTCTGGAATGATGCCAAATATATTGAGAATGAATCTGCTATAGGAAAGTAGGCTGAAACAAAAGACATCAAAAATAAAGAAAATACAACTATCTAGTACAGTAAAACAGATATGATAAGTGTCTATTTGACTACATTTCAGAAAGAAGTATGTTTATTCTTCTAAAAAATGAAATCAGAATTGGTTGGCAGCCACATATCACTTTCTTTCTTTCTTTTTTTTTTTTTCTTTCTTTTTTTTTTTTTTCATAAGGAATGGAATCAAAGATGAAAAATATTACCCTTAAAAGTTAAAGTTACTGAAGTAGCAAAGACTAAAAAATGATTAACATACATGGGAAATCTAGAATAAAGGGGAAAAATCAAGGTAATACTACATGTTAAAAAATAAAAAATGAATTTTAAACGAGAGAGAATGAGAGAATACTGGACTTTGTAAGCTGTGTTTACATCAAAGAGATTAAAAAAAAAGGGGGGGCCTGGTGAAATCAAATAAGCTGATTTATATGTTTAAAAAATTAATTTTTCAATTTTAACAACTAAAAATCCCTTTATTATGTAGATAATTGATTTCCCAAGATTGTAAAAAAGGGGTGAGGATTTTTCTTTTTATGGGCAGATTAAGTACCCTCACAAGTAAAAAAAAAAAATCAGTACTAGAATGTCTAGACCAAAGTATAATCATAAGCTGCAAGCCTGTAAACAGAAAGCTGTTTCTATGGCATGTTTTTCTTTGAAAAATCTTCAAAAAAATCTGCTGTCCACTGATTGTAATATAGTGACTACCAGACATTGCTAAATCTATAACTAACATTAAGTTATAGATTATAAAGTAGCATTATATATAAATATACTAGCGGGCAGGCCCGCCAGCTGAGCGGGCTGAAGCCCGCTTTTCATTGTTCAATGTTCATGAGTTTCCATTGTAATTTCGCCGTTATTCGAAAGTTGAACTGAACTACCAGTGTTCAGCAATTTTGAGCAGTCTGCGTCCGCTTTGTTCACCTATGTATGGAGAAGATACTGCATAAATGATACACATGCATAAAAGCAAGAAAACACCCATGGATCCAGCTGGACCGAACTACCAGTGTTTAGTTTGCGCGGGCTGTGCCCGCTTTATTTACGTATGCATCCACAATATACTGCATACACGTTACACATACGGAAGATTACGAAAGCACCTATGGAGCCAGCCCGTTCGCCGAAATTCGAAAATTGGACTGAACTACCAGTGTTCAGCGATTTTACAGCTCAGGCTTTTTGCCAAGTGTAATCGCAAAAAAATTTTCGGGGTATGGTATTATATTCAAACAGTAGATTCGTTATTAAAATTCCTTTTGATAAACTTTAAACTAATCACACACAAAGGTGCATCAATATGTATATTAATGTAATTAATCAATCATAATTATTTATAATAAGAAAACTTTCCATATACCATCTCCAAGGCAACAGAAATTCAATTTAAAACCTTGAACGAAAAAAAATTTAATCAGAATTTAAATAAATAGTTTAATTATTATTTTTTGCAATTAAAATTTCTTAATTAAAATTTAATTTAATATTAGCTTTATGCGAACAGAGATATTATATTAATGCACTTATATATAATAACAAAAGCAGTGACTGATTACGTAGCTCAGTACAAGAAATGAGCACGCTGATTTAAGCTATTAGACATATTAATTTGTATTACTCAAAGTTTTGCTTTTCTTATTCAGATCCAAAATCACGAATTGTTCGAAAAAATGCACAAAAAATACGTATCTCGGCAACCGACCAGTCCGATCGGCTCGCAATTTACAATCTTATAATTGCCAAATTTTGAAAAGAGGTTTGGTCTTTGTTCCAGACAGATTGGCAAATTAGAAGATTAATTAGCCATAATGAATAAAAATCCTCCACTACTTTAATTTCATCCCTGGCGAATGGCCTTGACGATTCCAAAAGTCGTGCGGAAACCACCTCCCTTCTCCGACACCCGTCGCTTTCGAATCGAAGGCCGTCAACCAAGAGTTTAGGAAGGGGAGATAAGGTAGTAGCGCTTTTTTAATGAATCTTCTAATTAGGCTCCTAATTAGCAAAACAGTTTACAACGAACACTAAACTTTATTTGAGCATCCGAGAAGTGCAAAATTCAAAATTTGAACGAAATCGATTAATTCTTTGAAGAGTTACGTGTTTTTGTGCATTTTTCCGGCTGAATTTCTCTAATTAAGAAAAATGCACAAAAAAACACGTATCTCAGCAACCGAGAGTCCGATCAGCTTGCAATTTACAATCTTATAATTGCCAAATTTTGAAAAGAGGTTTGGTCTTTATTCCAGAGAGATTGGGCAAATTAGAAGATTAATTAGCATAATGAATAAAAATGCTCCTCCACTACGTTAATTTCATCCCTGGCGAATGGCCTTGACGATTCCCACGACCCAACGGAAACCAGCTCCCCCCCCCTCAAAACCCGTCGCCTTCAATTCCCAACCTGTCCATACAAAGATCTGGAAAGGAAAGGAAAAAGGAGTATAGAGTATTAGGGCGTTTTTAATTACCCCATTAATTAGGCTCCTTTTTCACAAATCAGTGTGGAATCAAGGCCATCAGTCGTTTTATCCCCTCGCGGGTTTAAAATTCAAAATTTCAAGGAAATCGGCCGGTAAGTTCCAGATTTACCGATTTTTTGGGAACTTTTGGGCTCAATTTCTCTAATTAAGAAAAATTAATATCTTGGGAACAAATAATGCGATCGGCTCTAAATTTAGAAATTTACAACTCATAGATAGTCAAATGAAGGATGCTCTTTGTTCTAGAGAGATTGGGAAATTAGAATATTAATTAGCACAATGAATAAAAATTCTCCACTACGTTAATTTCGTCCCCCCGCTAATGGCCTTGACGATTCCAACTGGAAAACGGATACAGCTGCAACCCCTCAAAACCCGTCGCCTTGGAATCCCAGCCTGTCCACAAAGATATGGGAAGGAAAGAAAAAGGGGTATTAGGGAGTTTTTAATTACCCTGTTAATTAGGCTCCTAATTCGCAAATCAGTGTGGAATCAATTCCATCCGTCGTTTCATCATCTCGCGGGTTTAAAATTCAAAATTTCAAAGAAATCGGCCGGTAAGTTCCGGAGATACCAATTTTTTTGTGCATTTTTCGGGCTAATTACCATCTTTGCTAATTAAAGTCGCACGAAGATGCGAATGGCCAAAATGGCGAGCCACGGACGTCCTGAATCCAACGGTATGCTCCGCTAAGCTCTACACCCAGCCGTTCCGGAGAAGATGAGGTTACAAACAAACAAACAGACGCGCACAGATTTTAATAGTATAGAGATATGAGAGAATATTTGTTTTATATATATATATATATACAGGCTTCAACATTTCAGTTTCTAGAATAAATGGCTGAAGTCTATATACTGATGATTCTGTGAACGTTTCAAAAATAAGGATATTAATAATGAGGTAAAATAATTACTGCTCAATGATTATACTAATAAAGACATCAAAGTTTTTGTCCTTCAAGAAGATAAAAAAATCCTTATTAAAAAGTGCTTCAAAGAGTTAAAGTGATAAGAAAGAACAGGTATCGGGGTACAAAATCAGAAATTTGAAGAAAGACTTGGAATAATGATTATCATTTCCTTTGGATTTACAATTTACTCCAAATAAATAAAATCAAATTTTTTATTATATCTGATTAATTAAATATGAGCAACTTACAGTAAGGAACACCACTATTTGCAGAATAAATACTTGATACCATGGTTGTTCCTTGTTGGGAGTTACTACTTATTAGTTAGAACTGTTATTTTTAAACAGTTCTATGTGTAACCGAATAGCAGAAAAATGCTGTCGCCAGTCTGTCTCTGACAGAGAAGAACATTTGGGAGTGCTGCACGCACGTTAATTGGAAGTATCAATGAACTATCTGTGAAAAATTCTCTTTTATTGGCTTTATTTCTGTTATATACTGTTTTAGTTTTCATTATAGTATTTGCACCCAGAACTGATGGCAACAATTTGATAATTCATCAGTGATATATTTTACTGTGCATTCTTTTTCTGTAATGTAATTGAGATGTAATGTTGTTTTTGAGAATAATGCCTCAGTGTCACTATAGTAAATAAACACAGTAAATTTCAAAGGATGATTGCATTTATTCTATAATGTTTTCATGTGTATATTGACGGAATTAATTCCATTCAATAATTCAATTTACCATGTACTTTATTTGGAGGGGGGAGGTGAAATGCAAACAATTTTACTACAAGTTACTTTTTGTTATAAATGACAAAAAATGCAATAAAAATAGGAACAGAATCCTTAATAAATCTTTGACAATTGATTAGTGCTTAAATGATACAATTAGAAAGAAAAAAATTGGTTTACCTTTGGTCGGGTATCCACTACATACATATATTCTGAATTTGGACTAGATTTTAAAATGCAGCTCAGTAACTGCTCATCTTCCACACAGCGTGCACTAAAGCCAGACAGGGGTTGACTGCAGCGGCATATAGCAGCCTAGTTATTAAAAATACATTTTAATAAAACATTTTAGAACTACATTTTCATACAGTAAATAATAATACCAGAATACAGTATATTATAATTTACCAGGAATATTTAATATCATTTAGTTTCAGGTGGAAAAATGTTTTTAATTTCTGTGATATAAAGCTGAAAATAATTCTGCATTAAACATAGTCTGATATAACTTGTATTACTTACTTAATAAAAATTGTAATGCATCCAATTTTGTTTAAAAATAGATGAATCACCATAATGTTTATTACTTCTACTATACCATCATTACAAAAGATCTGAAAATGATGTAAAATTTATATTTTGTATTTTCAGAAATCTTCGTGTTTAATTTTATCAGTGCTAAACTCAAGGTTAGTTTAAAATGAGCCTTGCTTTTAAAAATGAGAATGAGTACACTAAGAAAATTACACGAAATATTTAGTCCATTTAATGAATTGCCCTTCACAGTATCAAAGACTTAAAAAAGAAAGAAGACAAAGACTAGATTGAATTCTTTGAAATAATGGTCTTTTTCATTTTAATGTTCCAGGTAATAGTTCAATTCATTTATCACAAAGATAAAATCAGTTATATGTATTTAAAAGGTAATTTAGTGAAACAGAAAGGACTGAAACAGAAAGTCTGGCAGCAATTTATCAGTTTAAAATGGTGGATTTATGCTGATGTATATAATATTAAATGAACCACATAGAATTTAAAAAGTTACTTTTATAGAAAATGCTTTACTCCTCCAATTATTCACAATTTTTTTATCTATGGAATTTTCAGTCAGAGCACTAATACACAAAATTTCATCTAAATTACATTAAAATTTACTCATAAAAAGATTACAATACTTTCTGAAGAAGAACAGAAAGAAAGAAAAAGGGAGAAAAAAAATAAAATAAATTTAAATACAACAAATTTAAAAAGAAAAAAAAAATCATGTAACATTCATTTACAACCGCCAACCTTCATTTTTATTCAAAGGTCACAGGATAATGGATGATACAGCTTTTTTTTTTAATCTGTTAAAGTTTTTTTTATCATAAAATTTATTCTTTCATCAAATAAAAATGATTTTACCTCCATTTTCTAAGCTTTATTACCAATTCATTTTTAGAATACATTATTAACTCATATTTTGACAAACATTCATTAAAATTATTTTTTATAACAAATGCAAAATGAAAATAGATATGGGCAAAGGTAAAAATTTCAGTGAATAGGAATAAAAATTTCAATGAATAGGTAAAAAAAAAATTCAATGAAGAGCATTACAGATAAAAACTATCTGGGCTTTTAGATAAAACAATAATAGCTTATACTTAAAAATCCTGTTTAATAAGATACAAATAAACCATACATCGGGGGGGGGGGTGAATAACTTTCATATTTACCTCAAGATGTGAAGAATAATAAGCATGAATTTTTATTAATACATTTATACAGCTACCTATTATTTCATACAGATGAACAAAATAGCTCTTTTACAAAAAACAAAACTGATCATCTGTGTGTGTTTAATCTATGACTTTCATACATTCTTGGAATTAATAAATAATATTTCAGAATAATACTGAAGAACAGAGTATCTAGAGGCTTTCTTTCTTTTTTTTTTTCATTTAATTACAAAAGGGAAATAATTATAGACTTATCTCAAAATGATATATGCTTCCCTAACCATATTTTTATGTAAGTATGACAAGACAGGTAGCCTTCCTCGACTGCGAAAACGACTGCTTCCCACAAGAACAGCAGTTGAAGCAGATGTAGGCACGTATAAAAATCTTGGATACGTATCACATATCTAAACAGAAGAAAAAACAGGTAACTTCATAAGACAAAACTTTTTAATTTATTTATTTAGTAGAAAACCTACTTTATTTGATAAAAGATTTACATAAATACGGAATTAAATTAAAAAAAAATTAAGTCAATAGGGGACTGAACAATAATAGGAAAATAAATTTGCAATTTTTTCTGCGTATTTTTGATACGAACAAGTATCATCTAAACTTGATTTGTTCATGCTGCACGTTGGGAAGTGCGTCAAATCTTCATTTTTAAGTTGTTTTTCCCAAAGAACTAGTTGACATTTGAATGCTTTAATTATGTCAAACATGTTCGTAATGATATGATCTTTTCCTTGTAACGATAAATTTAAATCGGTTAAGTGTTTGGTTATATCAACCAAGAAAGATAAATCTTGTATCCATATTGGATCGTAAAACAAACTTACGTCTTGATTTTTCGTTTTTAAAAACTGACATATTTCTTCTTTCAAATCCCAGAATTGTTTGAGAATCTTGGAGCAAGATAACCAACATACCTCGGTATAGTAGGACAAACCCGAATATTCACTATCTAACTCACTTAAGAAAGCAGTGAATTGACGCTGATTTAAACCTCGAGATCTTATAAAATTTATAACTTTTTTTTATATATGACAAAACATTCTCCATATTTATTACTTTCGTGCATAGAACTTCTTGATGTATAATACAATGCATATGATGAATGTTTGAACCGTGAATTTCACTAAGTTTTTTTCTTAGTAATGCTACGAAGCCCTTGTTTTTCCCGGTCATTGATGGAGCGCCATCTGTAGCTACAGAATTTAATTTTGCCAAAGGTAGATTGTATTTCTGCAGAAGTCCAAAAAACACAAGTAAATATATCTTCTCCTGTGGTAGTACCAGGCATCGGTATTAGTTCCAGTAATTCCTCAAAAATGTTAAAATTCTTGTCACAAGAACGAAAAAAACACTGCTAATTGAGCTTTGCCACTAATGTCCGTGCTCTCGTCACAGGCAATGGAGAAACTTCCGAAACTAGATGATTTTGCTTTGATCTGATCACTTAAATTCGCAGCTAAATCAGTAACTCTTTCCGCAACTGTATTTCAAGACAATGAAATTGATTGAAAAGCCTTCACATTTCCAGGACAAACAATTTCTCCAGCTTTCATTAGGCATTCCTTGATGAAATCACCGTCAGTAAAAGGCTTTGAATGTTTAGCTATCAACTCGGACAAAACATAGCTTGCATGTACCGCCGCTTGCAATACTTTACTAAACATGGACTATTGCTTTTTCACTCCTAACTTGAGCTCTTTCAACTTTTCTTCTCTCATTAATCCTTAGTAATTGTTATATTTTTGATTTGTGTTGTTCGTAATGACGTTTAATATTATATAACTTTGGTATATTAATAGTATTATTACATATCAAGCAGATTATTTTATCTTTTATTTCACAGCAAAAATATTCTAATTCCCAGTTTACTTGGAATATTCTATGTTCATCAGCGATTTTTCGTTTAATTTTACTACCACTTGGTTTTGATATAGACTAACTGAAAACAAAGGGCTGGAATAAACACGGTTAATGTTAAAAAGTTAACAAAAATTTATTCTTTCCACAAGAGATAAATCAAAATGCTGAAATATTTCTTCAAAAATATTCTAACAATATCACAAAATGTCAAACGTTTAGCAAAAATCAATTCAAAACAGAGACTAATTCTATCACAGCGAAATCGCTACAAATCAATCATAGCATTAAGTAAACAAACAGTTCGCTAGAAGTACAGCTACTACTGAGATGAGTTGTTTGTTCTTGGCTTTTATAAGTTTTATAATTAATTTCTCGAATATACTGGAAACATCTATAAATATCTGGATTTTTGTGGATGGCAACAGCAATTACGAGATATTTATTTATTAGGTATTAAATGCACGCGCTGTTCTATTTTTAACCTTCCAACGCAGCTGTCTTTTCAAAAATCGTCTGCGTTGCTAAGGCAACATGAAGCAAATCTAATTACAATTCTAAATAAAAAAACTAAATAAATAAATAACTATGAAATCCGTGACAATATGAATGAAGTAATAATTAATAATAAAGCAAAGTGCATGCACCAATATATCGTACAAAACTATGATTGGAAAACTGAGACCATGAGTTCGGCCACATTCGGCTATCGGGGGATGCGTACAAGTTCTGAGTGCATGTGTCCCCCAAAAGTCGAAGGTAGCTGAACGCAAGCTACTCACACGCATTTGTAATTTAAGTAATGTGTGTGTCAGCTCACTGAGTAATCTAACAACACTGAATAAATTATCGTTAATTACTTAGCAGTAAACATTTCATTTTTCTCTTCGTTGATATGTTATTTTATTATTATATATTATTATTTGCCAATATATTGGCCGGGCCGCAAAAATATTTGTTGTGGGCCGCGAGTTTGACATCCTTGGACTAGGCACTGACTGACTGCTACTCTGCATGCAGGCAAGGTTTATATAGCTTTTGGGCTGCGTTCAAGAACATTTTGGGCAAAACCGGTAAGAATTCTCTCCAGAAATTGGAAAAAAATCACCAATTTTGTCATCAAATGGGCAATTTTGCACCAAATATGGCAAACCTGCCTCCTCTTGGCATTTTCTGGTAACCATAAACTTGCTTTGCAGGGAAGCTGCCTTGCCGTGCCTGGGCATTTCATAACAATACGCACATTTCTGAATCCGATCCTGATTAACGGAAGAGTACCTTTGAAAATTCTGTATTAATATTTATTATGTAAGATTTAAGAGCATCAATCATAATTTCAGATCTTGTGCTGAAAGCAAATGGAATCATAATTTTAAATAATGCAACTAATTTTGTCTGCAGTATTCATTGAATAATGAAAAGCTATAGAGATAAAATTTACAAACCTTATTAAGCACATAATATTAAAATACCTGATATAGACTATTTCTTTTTCATAAGAAAATTTAGTGTGTTTAAAAATTTTAAATATTAACAAAATTGTACTGCTCATATTTTACATTATTGATTTACAGTACACTGAACAAAAACAGAATTCCCAAAAGTAAATTTTAAAATGAATTTATAAACAGCGCACTTTCACACCTTATTTTCAATAATATGAAGTGCTCTAAAAATTTATACCTGTTCTAGGAAATATATCTTCATTGCTTAAAATGTATAATGAAAATGTCAAGATTGTGAGAAAAAAGGAATTTCTCTTTATTATGGTATCTGAAAAAATAATCTGGATTATGTTGTTTTATTACATATACATTTATACCATTTGAAATTCTAACTAGATTACAATATTAAAATAAAGAAAGAGGGGGTAAAAGGCTATGTTTAAGTTTACATCAACAATAGTTAACATTTTTCAAATGATTACTGGTTTTATGAAGAAAATAAAAATCACAAAAAATATGCTAAATAAAAAGAGAGAGAAATTTGCAAATACTTCTTTCTAAAGGAAGAATAATGCAATTTCGTTCATGAGGAAATTTTAAAATAAGGAGTAAAAGCTTTCAGAGAAATTGCAAGCATTAATTAAGAAACTAAACTGAATCATAAAATATGCAAACAAAATTACTGCATAAATTAGAATTTTATTTTATTTCATATTCCAATTTATAACAAAATTACTCATACACAAATGATAGTATTAAACTACAGCAATAATTTCAGATAAATTATAAGAAACATTTCTTAATAAAAACTTAATTATTTCAAATTGCTATTATGGTAGTACAATTATAATAGATAATTTAAATCACTATTAGAAGGTACTATTATAATTATTTAAATTTTGTTCCCAGCATGCTAATTTAACTGTACACTAAGTGGCCTATTTCTTATGACTAACAGCCAATTTTATGCATATCGGCCATAATGTCAAGCTGTTGCCACTTAGCTTGGTAGCAAAAAGATCGGTATCTTGATAATTATTAAATCTACCATTTGCAAAGAAATGTGTAAAAAATGCTGTTTACATTTAACTGACTTTGAATGTGATATGACTAAAAATGGTCAAAATGGTAAAGGATCAACAAAAAAGTTGCCAGATGTAAAGTATTCCAAGAACATCTGCTATTAAAGTGTACAAAATGTGGATTGCCAAACAATAAACTAGGCCCCAATGTAAATTGCCATCACTGATTACTGAATGCTCAAAGAGAATTTGCTGATTTCTCCAATCCAATAGAAAGAAAACAGTAAGTCAAATTCAGATAATCTTAAATATGGAGGAACAATGGTATCCACTGTTTGGCATGCCTTTAGCACATCAATCAAAAACCTGTTTAAAAGCATTTGCTGTCTGCAGCTAAGAAGACTGAACATGAATGGGACCATTCGCCGTTGCCATTTGGGCGTTTTGCCATCAAGACGTATTTTTCCTTACACAACTGTATTATATCTTGTCATATTAAGTTGATTTAAATTAATAACTCTGCTTTGTTTAATAATTTCATAAAAATTTTATACAAAATAATATATAAAATTTTTTTATGTAAACTTTTATACAAATACACTGTTACACATGATATATGAACTTTAAGGAAGTAATGTGCTGACAAGATTCCAAAGTAACTCTGTTCTCCATTCAGATTTCATAAAAATGTGAATATCCTGCTTGTATGTGCGATTTCTCTAAACAAGCCAATTAAAATTTCGAGACATTTTGGCAAATTACGTAAATATTGTACCTGCATGATTTTAAAATCGATAATATAACTTCTGATATAACAGAAGATACTCTGATATAACTTTAACCCTAGTTCTCTTTGATACTGACATAATATTCCAGCTAACTCCGTTAATTTCTTTATACCTTCTTTTGCAAACAAAAATCGAAGCACCATGAAGAAAGTGGTTGTTTTAGATGAAATTGAATATGTGTATAGCTCATACACAGATAATAAAATGATTAAAAAATCAAGGTCATAGAATTTGTTCAAGGTTCACAATCACTCATTGATTGTTCAAATTAGTAGCTGGTCAAACTGCCCATTTCGGCAATGCATGCTTGAATTCACCGAAGCAAAGAGTGGTAGAGGTTCCTAATGCCATCCTGCGACACATACTGCCAGGCATTCATCAGTTATCGCTCTAGATCTGCAATATTTTGCGGCACTGAATCTGGCAGCCTACCATGTCCCAGACATGCTCGACTGATGAAAGGTCTGGTGACCTTGCTGGCCAAGGAAGAGTATCAATCGCACAGAGACATTCCAGAGATATGTGAGCAGTATGTGGCCTGGCATTACCTTGTTGGAAAATGGCCCCAGGATGACGTCCCATGAAGGGTAATGCAACCGGCCGCAGGATGGTATCAACATATCGTTGAGCTGTTTAAAGATGTATGGAGGATGACTAAAGATGACCTGCTGTCATAAGAAATAGTGCTCCACGCCATCACACCAGGGGTTATGGCTGTATGCCTTTGTAAAACAAAGGCTGAATGGGACCGCTGGCCCCACCCACTCCAGACGCAAACACAGTGGTCATCTCCTTCAAAAGTGAAGAGGGATTCATCGCTGAACACTATATGATGCCAGTCTGATGGCAGCCATGATGATCAGCTGCAACACCACTCCAGACGACTCCGCCGATGTTGTAGGGTCAAAGGCAAACGTCTTAAATGCCTCAGTGAGCGTAACCCTGGCTCAGACAAGTGCCGTGAGATGGTGAACGGTACCATGGGGAGGTATAGATGTGGCTATAGTGTGTTAAATAGTGGACAATGACATAGTTGGGGCGGTTCGGGCCTGGCGAACAATCATTTTATCTTGCCTCGCATTTGTGATCCTTAGTCTTCCAGAGCCTTCATTTCATCGGCAATTTCCTTCTAGCAACCATTGTTGCCAACATCTTTGCACAGCAGTGTCTGCATGCTGCAGGTGGCAGCCTATTGCTTTGTATGACCACCCAGCTTCCTGCAACCCTACAGTGCAACCACGAAGTCGTTTAGTTGTCCGTAAGGTCTTCGATATCATCTTAATGGCATCTTTAGTTGCTTCTTTTTGGAATTACAATAGCAGCAACAAAAAAGACAATTTTTCTGCCTTTGTTACTGGTTTTATACTTTGCAAACTGAGCACTAAAAATGCGTGCTATGATCGCAATTCCTGTTTATTTGCCTTGAAACTTTGATCATTTGCATGTTCAATCAAGATGTTTTTGCATACCAAATTTCATCGCGATCACAAAAGTACTTGGTTCTTCGATTGTTTTGCAAAAGAGTGTATCTCATACGTGTAAATAACTATACATATTACAAGCAACCTTTATTAAGTATACAAAAGGTAAACGGAATTATTAATCTAAATAAATTTAATACAAGTATAATACAGTCATATAAAGAAAAATAAGTCCTGACAGTGAAATGTCCTAGACCGAACTGAACAGTTGGCATGATTTTGCAAGATCTTAATGGCTAAGTAATGGAAAAAGATCATGCCATCTCATAAATTGCACTTTAAATTATACTAGACATGTAGCAAGTTAAGAATAAGTATAAAACTACACAAAAGCGTGGAGTCCAGATGCACTAGTAAACAAAACAGCTACAATATTTATTCATCATGGATATTAAATTTTTCCCAAAGGTTAAAAATTATTCTTTTCTTAAGAAGTACATATTCAGCCACACATATGTAATGTTCTAATTAAAATACGATAATCAAATATACATATATATATATAAATGAATATTTGTTTGTCTTTTATACAAATCTACAGTTTGATTCTGATCTTTATGAAATCTGCCACACATGACTTTTAAAGCAAGATATAAGTCACTATTTGCGTAAAATCTCACAAAAACCACCCCATGAGGTTTGCACTCTTTATATACATACATTTTATGCTAATTTAACAAACTTTTGACTTAAAAATCAGTGATTGGAAAGCTTTCTCTTGCCACCCGGAAAAATGCAATGATATTCATTTGTTTCAAATTTAATAAATAAAAACAAATTCAATTATTTAACAGAAATGCATTGCTACTGCCCAAATTAAAATATTTTAAAATGTGTTATCGTTCAGCAAAGCATAAGATATTCAATTTTTTGCGAATTAACATGCGCATTATCTCATCACATGCATCTTCTTTGCTTTTTTTTTAAAGTGAATTTGTAATAGTCACCACAAAGCATTACTTTTGCTTTGAAATCAATTATGCTACCAAAATAAAATCAACTGCTCAATCTACACCTCAAGTACAAAAGCAAAAGGCATCACGAGCTTCAGAAACAAACAAGTAACAGGAAGAAAGACTAGAAAGCATTTGAGTATGGACTGCTTCAGCCCATTCATATGAATGCAACGGGAAAAAAGACTGGAAAATGTTTGAGGAAGCATTGCTCAACCCCATTCGCCTGAAACAGAAGAGCAATAGGAAGCTCTTCTGTTTCAGACGAATGGAGTTGAGCAGTGCTTACTGAAACAAAAACAGAAGAGCAATGTGCAATGTTCATTTGGATCAAGCAATGCGTACTGGAAAACTTTCCAGTATGCATTGCTTGATCCAAATGAACATTGCACATTGATTTAAATCTTGGTGCATTCCATTACCATGCTAATTATGATTATAGTCTTCATCTATGTGTTGCCATTGGAAAGATGGATAAATTATGCATATTGCAGAGCCCTCAAATTTAAGAATGAAGCACCAGGAATGTGCTGCGCAGGCAGAAAAGTGAAACATCCAGAATTAATTTCACCATCTAAACCATTATCAACCTTGGTATCAGGTAACACAAGCTAATCGAAATACTTAAAATACGTGTAAAGAAAAAATTTCATAACAGAATTAAAACACAAGCACTTTCTTTCCCTTCACTGCCGGATAATAGCTAGTTGTTATATAAAACAAACAATGAACAAATAAATTTTAATGCATTTTTCTTCCATATCTACTTTACAAAATTAATATCAAATAAGAATATCCTACTCTAATGTATTCTTTTAATGGCACTGACAAAAATTACTTTGAATAGAAATATTAAAATAGAATGTTTTAAATTTAACAGCTCGCAGTACAATATTTGGTATCATACAATATTTGATTAATGACATTTTGATTTCTGTTTGGTTACAGATATTAAATTTAATAACGAAACATCTTAAAACACTTATCACTAGACATCTCTTTCATGGCACTTTAGTCTTACAGGCACAAAATTAGCATATCTATTACATTTTTAATTAAATTGTGAGTGTTTAAAAAAGTCACTGTTTAGTACATAATAAATTTACCTCATAATCCTTATTGATTAAGGTTAAAACCCAACGATCATTTGGAACACCCATTCGGGCATATTCAGCTTGTAAGTCAAACTTATTCCAGCCAGAGCGTTTAGGAAGATCTTCATTTGAAGCAGTATAATGAAAGCAATATAATTCATGAATATTTACTGAAAAAAATAATAGCAATAAGAATAACAACTATAAAAATATACTGGGTGATAACTAGAATACATAATACTGAAAAACAAAACATACTGGCTTTTATTTATCAAAATATAATTTTTTAACTTAAACGTAATGTTTTTGAACATATTAATAGCAAACCAGGCAACAGTTTTATCAGCCAAAAATACTAAACACAGTAATTTTTTTGGGAGAGGGGAAGAGAGGAATATTGCTAAATATGACATGGCTCTTTCAGCCATTTCTGAAGTTATTTAGTTGACTCATTTAAAAACTGATTACAATCTATCAAGGAAAACAATGACCTAAAAAATTTACAAATTATTTTCTTTATGAATTTAACTAGACTGTAATGATACACAAATTCCATTATAAACATATATTCTATTAAATTATTTGACAACAACATAGCACACACCACTGAATGGGGCTAATTGATTAAATAATAAATTTTTCAAAAATTACATGCCAAGGAACACCTTTGTAAAAGTAATTTTAACAGAAATTGAGCCATATTTCCATTATGAAAAAGGAAAATTAGAAAAATTTAAGCAGATGACCCGCTCTTCTACCAAAAACTTAACTCATGACAAACTATAGATACTCCGAAGCTTTAACCACTTGGGCAGTGGAAGGTCAATAACACAGTATAAAAAAGCACTACTTTTAGAAATTTCAAAGTAATAATGCAAATAAGTAAGAATATGATTGAAAACCAAAAGTATTATTCAGATTGAAAATGGTGATAACAAACTTATGTAACACAAACTAAACATTTAGAAAAATTTCTTCAAAGCCTATATGAACACTACTAAATGATTTCTAAACATTTGACATGAAATTTTATTAACAAAGATTAATGAAAGATGCTTTTCTAAAAAAATGTTAAAACGTTGACAATAAAAAATGTTTTTAAAAAAAGCTTAAAAATGTTATGTATTTATAATCAATACATATATACAATTTACTGAAATTCTTCTCTCCTACTTTAATCATTTCAATTATCATGTAACATATACATTTATCTATCTATCTGTAAAGAAGCACACTTAGAAGTAATGATGTAGTAGAAATACTGATTGCACAGAATGCGGATTAATAATAAAGACCAACTTGGTAGCCAAGGCAGATTAAATATTCATCTTTATTTCAGTAAACATGTCATGGCCACAAACAACTTGGCATTCTAATTGTGCCTGTTTCAAAATGTTTGCATTTTTGATAGCTTTACAGTAAGAAGAGAACAGTAGCAATCCAGGTAGGTAGTAGAAAGCAAGCATGTTCAAAATAAAATCTTAATTCAGAATAATTTATTTTCAGTTCTAATGCATTTGATTGGATAACTAATACTACTGTAAAATTATTATTGGCTATTTGAATTTTAGTTCCATTTACATCTCCAGCATTAGGTATAAGTCCAAAATGGTTCAAAATGTCTGCAATAGTTAGTACTGGTTGCGAATTATTGTAATATTTCTAGCTAACAGTTAAGGAAATTGAAAACTAGAAAGACAACAGTAAATAATCGTCATGCTAAATTGGTTATTTTAGTGCCTTTTGAAATTAAAATGCTGTTATTAAAAGATTTTACTAGACTGTTTTGTGAATAATGCAATGCTAATGTAATAAGACTAAAGATTAAATACGGCAGTTAATGCCAGATTATTAAAGAGGGGAAAAAATAATACCCTTCTTTGAAATTCAATTTTTAATTAATGTAGCTGTTAGTAAAATAATTTCTTCTCTTAAGTAAACAACTGCTGTAGAAATTTTTAAAAAATTCTGTTTAACTGATTGTGTTACCTATAACATTTTTGGAAATATTTAACCACCAGTTAATTAATTTTATAGTTTCAAATTTTAATTTTCTTCTCTTACAGTTTAATTTTTTATAATAATCAAGCATGTATAAATCAAGATATTCTATTTCATTCTAACTTGCATTATTAGCTTTATTTAATACTAAGCAAGTTGCATAACTGCAGCAATTTTCAAGATATCCACATTTATTAACCAAAATTATGAAATCAATGTACAAGAATGTATTTGAAAAATATATTTTATATTAATAACTGATGCTCTTTAGAGAATAAGTAAAGGTTATAAACTTGGGTGAAGTAATTGGTTTCCATTGAAATACCATTTAATTTGTTGAAAAATGGAATCTAACCCTTTACCCATTGAACAATTTTGACAAAAATCTGTTTAAAAACCATAAAATTTTCATAGACTATTTTTAATGTTTATAAAATTCAAAATAGATTCATATAAATAACCAACGTTTTTCCTTAAATTTAACGGTTTTTTAAAATATGTACAAATTTTTATTAACTTACCTCATATTTGGCTTTCCTATGTATTATAATTTTTTAAGATAGAAAAGTTATATATGCTTTAAATAATGGACAGTATTATCTGCAAATTATGATGCTTTTATTCAACGTCAATAACATCTATAATATTTTTTTAAAAAGTTAATTTTTCTGGACGTGATATAATTTTAAACGTGGTATGCAGAGTCCTTCCTACATTACAGTCTTTGCAACAATACCTCATTTCTCTCCTAATTTGTTTTTCCATTTGCGTTCTTCTTAGATGAACACATTTAACATTCCCTGGCAAGGTTATCTCTTTTCTCTGTATGTGGTATAAGTTCCAAAAAACGGCTTTCAAATAAACAACTTGATAACACTTCATTCAATGGACAGCCTTGTCTTGAAATATGGACATAAAAGTGTGTATTAATCAATTATTTCATTGTCTAAATTTTAAATGAAATTTTTCTCAGCCTTCTTTTTTATGAACTTGAAAAGTGTTGAAAACAGCTTGGTCTAAAAATTGAAAAATTATTTTTTTTATATAATATTTTTCCCCAACGTTTCAGGCTATTTGATAACTAGAAAGGCATTGATCTACAAGGTCCCCACCTCTCAGTGTTTTATTGTATACAATTACAACCTTTGATTTTCTTTCTTTCTTTCTTTCTTTCTTCTTTTTTTTTTAATTACCTCAACAGTTTCAGAAGCATGAAATGATAACAACATTGTCACTACCTTTTTGTCCCTCCATTTCAAAGCAAGGATTTTTCCATGTCTAAATTATATAACTTTGTCAAGTTTTAATTTTCCAATTTTCAATGCTAAAGGCAAACTTTTTATTTTGTCTAACTGTTCCAACCACATCTATTTGATAAGTCAATAGGATATCACATAATTCTGGTGAAGTACAAAAATTATCTAAGGTGATGCAGTGGCCTTGATTCAATAATGGCATCATCAAAGTCATAACAGCTTGTAAACAGCTTGTAAAGGTAACAATAGAGATTGGATTTTAGAATGGAATAAAGTACCTTTCCCAGTATATACAATAAATGACCATATACAGGGTGAGGCAAATAAAAGTGGCCCAGAGAACAGAGTGACTCTGAACAGAGCACTTTTATTTGCTACACCCTGTCTAACCAGTAGCAGATTCGCTTAGTATGTGTGCTTTCATACTAAATTTTGCTTTTTTCAAGGGTATATTATTGGCACTAAGATAAACACCCTTTGAGCTACATCAAAGTTTCATCTATGGTAATATCTCTATTAGGAGTAATTGTTGTTTGATGTAGTTTAATCAAATGCTCACATATAGACCAAATTTTGTCACTATTATCACTATCTTCAAATTCACCAGGATCGCCCATTATTATTATCACTGTCTTCAAATTCCAATACTTCAGAATCAAAAGTATCTGGGGGGGAAGTGGGAATGCCTTCTGAATCAGCTCCCGATTCTTCAAAACTGAAATGCTCTTGTTCACTTGAGCTAACACAATTTACAAATATTAAACACGAATTTGAATCATTTCAAAACATGTTATAACTAATTTTTTTTTTCTAAATCTGTATACTACTTCTGTATAATCAAATTGCTAATACTATGTTGTCATCTGTAAATCTACTTTGCAAATAAAATTAATATGGACATGATAAAAATTGACATTTCCATGACTTTTTATTGAGAATGCTTAGCCCACGTGAGATACAAGCACGACAAAATTTATTCAAACCAGCTGCCCGTATGAGAGACGGGCACGATGACTAAGGGGTTAAACTGAATAAATAGTCATGAAATATTACAATATTATGGAAATCCTTACATTTGTCTTCAGCTCTAAAATTGTAAGTACTTCTGGAAATAGTTTTGATAGTTGCAAGAGACTGTCATAAAATCTTTCAAAGAGATATATACAAATTTTCAAAATTATAGCAGTTGATTTCTTTAATCTCAATATTCTGAAGTGTAATAATTACTGAAAGGTTGCCATTAATATTCCCACTGTAGTTATGTTCCTGATTAACAGGTGTTAACATAATCAAAAAAAAATTTTCTTAAGCTTGAGAGAAAAAATATAATCAGTTCCTTTCTTGAAATTTCTGGTACCATTTGCAATAAATCTGAAATACTACTGAAATTTATTTTATCAAACAATGAGTTAAAGAAACTTAATCTTGCAGAAACTTTTCTTAGATTTTTTATTTCTAATTGTTAATTTAAATTTATGAAAATCTAGTACCAGGTCTTTTAATAAAGTGTATCCTTTATAGTTACTCAAAATGAATTTTTGAAAGCTTGTTTTTGAAGGTGTGTAAATATTTAATATTGTGAGTAAAATTGGTAAAATTAAATAATTTTCTAAAGTTGGCTAGTAGTTTAATTATGGCCACAGTGGAAAAAACTATTTTCCGCTGAATAGAAGTCCAATAAAGTCTTTTCGTTAAATTCTATTCATTCATTCAAATTTTAAATAAGTACCTAAAATTTTGCACTTGTGATCATAAAAGATTAAAATTCTTATAATCAAGAGAAATTTACTGTTGCAAGCAAAATAAATCCAATAATTCCAAAATAGTAAAGAGTTAAAACTCAGGTATCAAATATGGTAGTCCATTATTACATAGACTATATAATTTAGAAAAATTCCCTTAGACATAAACAA